AGTGATGCTAATAGCAGTTTTACCTGACCTTGGTAGAGTCAGGCCTCAGTTCGCCAGAACTGTATCAACTCTTTAATCTTGTTTATCCTACTTTAGGCCAGTAAACAGAGGAGAAAAGACACAGAAGCTGTGCAAAAGAAACAGGTTTAGAACGGCCCATCTCCCATGGTTTGTAGAGCTCTTGGTGGTTTGGACTGGCTTGAAACTATTTTCCAATAATATTGTTTATAATAAGTAAGAAGGAATAAAATCCAGCTTTCTTGTTTTGTTGTGTAGAGGGCAAACATAGGGGATGGGGAGATGAACAGAATCACGTCTTCGTACTTAAATGATGATATCTAATATTCAGTTAACAGGTTTGTTATAAAAAATGCCAGGTTAGGAGTCATTTTTGGCCCACAGCCATTAAAAAGTTGGACAGCTCTAGTATAGGGAGAGTAAAAGGCACACTCAAAAAATCTACATGTGGAGAATGAAAAGTATTTTCCATTGTTCTATACCTTTTTTAAATGACAATCCACAGATATAGTAAACATTAGGACAAAACTAATTACATACATACTGCTCTCACTGTTAAACATTTATTTGCCAGTGTTACCTTGTTAACTTCAGGCGCAAGAATTTCTATCTTCCTCAAACGCTGGAACGCATCATAATCTGTTTCTCCAAACAATCTGATAGGTTCACCTCTCTCTCTCAATCTTCTAATCACCTGCAAGGAGTCAAAGTGTTCTCTAACACAAACTAGTGGGAGGCAAAATAAATGCAGGACAGTTTATTTACATAGTCTATAATAAGCAAACTGGGGGGGGAGAGGCAGTGGTAGTCAAAACAGCAGCAGCAAAATGTTCCAGACACTTTCTGATCTAAATAGGACATTCCCACAGTATTTCAGTTAAGGGTCATTTCAGCTGAAATAATTCCAATCCAAACTTTCTTTAAAATCTCAGGCATCCCTGATGTGGCTTAACTTCCTCTTACCAACTTGTTTTTGAAACAGCATGCATCTCCCCTGCTTCAAAAAAGTAGGTATCTATTTTCAGAGTGATCTTTTTTTGACTCTCAGGGATGATTCAACTCGTTTTGTTAGTTCTTGATATTTGACCCCCACTAACTATCCCCTGCCTATGGTGTGTTGGGAGATGTTCCTATAGTTTCATAGTTTCTAGGGTTGGAAGGGACCTGGGCAGATCATCTAGTCCGACCCCCTGCCACGGCAGGAAGAGCACTGGGGTCAAATGACCCCAGTAAGGTGGTCGTCCAACCTCCTCCTAAAATCCCCCAGGGTGGGAGCCTGCACCACCTCTCTTGGAAGCTGGTTCCAGACCCTAGCCACCCTGACCGTGAAGTAGCGCCTCCTGATGTCCAACTTAAACCTTCCCTCCGCCAGCTTGTGACCATTGTTCCTGGTCACTCCCTGCGGCGCTCAGGGGAACAGGGACTCCCCCAGCACCTGCTGATCCCCCCTAACCAGTTTATAACAGGCCACAAGATCCCCCCTCAGCCTTCTCTTTTGAAGGCTGAACAGGTTCAGGTCCCGCAACCTTTCCTCATAGGA